ATTTTTTTCTTTTTCAAAAGAAGAGGAAGAAGAAAAAGAAAAAAAAATTGTTTCTTATCAATTTAAAATAGAAAATTTTTTGTATTTTCAAATAAACTATTAATATTATTATTATTTTGAAATTGTTTGATTAAAAATGCATCGATAAATTAATTTTTCCTTTTTTTTGCTTTATAAACTTTTTATTTTTTATTTATTTGTATATAAAATTTTTTTATGCTTATTTTATAAATATTTTCGTTCTCAAAAAAGAGAGAAAAACATTTTTTTTTAAATTACAATAATTCGTTGCGAAAATTATATCCAAAAAAAAACGAGTATATAAAATTATTTCATTCTTTTATTCATAAAATTATAATTTATTTTTTCGAAATGTTTTTCTTAACATTAAAAATATTTCAATTCTGAAGAATCAACACAAATATAGAATTTTTTTTTTCTTTCGTTTTCTAAAAAGATGTTCTTCAGAATTTTCGGTGGATTTTCAAAAATTTTCCAAATTCGTCGACAATTTTTCGTGTGTGAGATACAGAAATCAAATAATTGGAGAATTTATCACATTTTCTCCCCATTGTAGAGAATATATAATATAAAGTATATATTATTGATAGGTTCTTGGATTTAAAAATTCGGAAAGAAATTTTTTTTTTAAAGAGAGAGAGAGAGAGAAAATTGCAGCACGCGACTATATTTCTTTCTCTCTCTGAAACTACCTCGTTATTAAAGTCTTTGCCTTGAGCGCATTCCAGCAAATATTTCCACGAATCACTTTTTCCTTTCCCTTTAAAATACAAACTCCTACCTGTATAATGCAGTAATCTCGCAAAAAACCGCAAAACAACACTGTGAACGTTTTTCTGATTTTAAAACCAGTTTTTTGTCTGATAAAAAAAATACAAAATTTTTTTTTTTTTTTTTGCAAAGCATTCTGAACTTTCAGACGAGGGAAAAAAATTAAAAAAAAAAAGATACGCTAATTATTATTTGGTACATAACTGAAAGTCGAGGGGAAAAAAATCTCTTATACATCTACGTATAGTCACAGAAATGTAAATACGGTATTTTCATACAGCGTTTTTTTTTTTTTTTTTTTTTTTATTACAATTATATCTTCCCCCTCAATTGTGTCGCTACTAGAATCTAGTTTAAAAAATACTTCTATCTCAGATATGCACAAATCTATTTTATTTAAAACAAAAATCGTAGAAAAAATTTTTCCTGCGATTTTGGAATTGGCGAGTGAAGAACATTTTTCGGATATTGCTTATTAGCGAGCCTCTGACCGCTTTCTATTTGTCTAAAAAAATATCTTGACAATGAAATTGAAGATTTCAACCATTTTTTTAATGAATGAATTTTTTTTCATTTGTTTTTGCAAAAGAAATTTTTTTTCTTTCTTTCTTTCCTTCGTTCAACAAATTTTTTTTTTCAAAACAAATTGTTTTCCAAATTATTTTTAGAAATCAAACATTTTTCTAGAAAATAATTTTTTTTTTTTGTTTTTACGAAACAAAAAATGCTTTTACAAAATTGTTTTTACAAAATTGTTTTTACAAAATTGTTTTTACAAAATTGTTTTTACAAAATTGTTTTTACAAACAAAATTATTTTTGCTGGCTAAATTCTTTTCGCAAATCAAATTTATTTTTTGCTTTTACAAAACAAATTATTTTTATAAAACGAATTGCTTTCACTATGGAAATTGTTGTTACAATCGTTGTTAGATTTTAGAAATTTAATTTCTAAAATTTTTTTCGTTTTAAATTTTAAGTTTTTTAGTTTTTAAATTTTTTTTGTTCTTAAGAAACAAATTTTTATTAATTTTATATTTTTATTACCAAATTGTTTTTACAAACCAAATGTTTTTCTTGGTTTTAAAAGAATTTTATTTTGTTTTTGCAAAGCAACATTTTTTTTTAATTACAAAACAAATTTCTTTTAATTTTTATGAAACAAATTTTTTTTGAGCTTACGAAACAAATTTTTTTCGCAAATCAAATTTCTTTTTGTCCTTGAAAAACAAATTTCTTTTTATTTTTATGGATCAAATTGTTTTTACAAAATGGATCAAAAAAAAAATGGCTATTTGCTTTTACAAAAGAAACTTTTTCTAACTAAATTATTTTTACAAAACAAAAAGAAATTTTTGTTTGTTTTTACAAAACAAATTTTTTTTATTTTGAGATTTTTGTTTTTGTCGATAGTTTTTTTTTGGAATTTGTTTTTATAAACCAAATTTTTGTTTGTTTTTAAAAAATAATGCTGTTTGTTCTTACAAAAGAAATTTCTGTTTTCTTTTTACAAAAAAAAAAAATTTCTTTTTGCTTTTACGAAAAAAATTGTTCTTGTTGCAAATAAATTTTCATTTCTTTTTACAAAATAAATCTCTTTTTGCTTTTACGAAAAAAAACTGTTTTTAAAAAACAAATTTTCTTTCTTTTTACGGAACAATTTTCTTTTGTAAGAAAACATTTTCCTTTTTACGAAACAATTTTCTTTTTTACGAAAGAAATTTCTTTTTCCTTCGACGAAAAAAGGTTACAATCTTCGCATTCATTTTTCTAACAAACAATAAAAAATATTAAATTCGAAGGCACGCTCGGCGCAACAATCGTAGTTTATTTATTTTATTTATTTATTATTTTTTTTTTTGAGCTTCGAAAACATTCACTTTCTGTGAGTGAAAAGGGACAGCAGCAGCCTCATCAGTCTTCGCAAAGTTCATATTTATTATAAGTGGCAGATTTTTTCTTTTCTTTTTTCTTTCATTTAACAATCACATAAAGTTTATTACATTAGGAAAATTTCTTGAGCAGTCTCGAAAATTGGAATGAATCCTTTTAATAGAGGAAAAAAATTTTTTTCGCCATTCATTTAAAACGCTCGCTTTTATATTCTTTTTTTTATATATAAAAAAATATATATATTTACTATGCAAGACATCGTCTGCCTTGATTTTATAATTCTATCTTATAAAATATGATCCATTAAATTTTATTTCCTAATGTTCAACAAATACGTAAAAATACGAAATATTACAGAATTGATTCTTTTTGTATACAAAAATTTATTACATTTTTTGTAGTACAAGTAATATTTTCTTTTGTACTTTCATTTTTTTTTGCATTTTTTTTTTATTTTTGCATTTTTTTCTTCTTTTACATTTTCTTTTTTTTATTTTTCTTCATCTTTATTTTTTACTATATTTATTTACTTTAAAATTTTCGATCAAGAACAGAAGGAAATTTTTCTTTTGTTTGAGATTTTAGATTTTTTTCCTACAATTTTTTTTTCTTCTTTAAAATTTTAGTTTTTCTTCTTAAAAAAATTTTATTTTCCTGAGAAATAGAAAAAATTGGAAGAAAATTTTACATTTTCTTCTAAATTTTAGATTTTCTTCTTGATGACTTTTTCTTCTCTTTAAAAATTTCGAATTTTCTTCATGAAAAATATTTCTTCTCGAACAAAAAAATTCGTAAAAATATGGTGAAAAGTGAAGGTGAAAAAAAATGCAAAAGTAAATAACACAAAAAAATGAAAGTTTACAAGAGATAGCACAACCAGGAAAAATTTTTTTTTGTACGGTAGTTTGACAAATCTAATCTACAATTGGACGGCTGTCCTTCCCTTTTATCTATCTTATCATATGAGAGATTTCGAGTATGAGCCGTCATTTTTTAAGGGAATATCAATTTTTTTTTCTCTTCTTCTAACAAAGGAGTACAATATTTTTCTAAACTATTTGTAGATCTAGTCAGATCTAATCGATAAAAATTTTAGATTAAAAAAAAAAAATTATTGCATCCATGTAGAGTCTTTTTTTTATCGGTCTTTTCAAAAATTCTTTTGATCCCCCCCCCCAAAAAAAATAATTCTACTTTATTCCCAAAATAAAGAAATTTTTTTGTGGGAGAAAAATGGAATTTTTTTTCTATTTTAATTTTTATTAATAGAATTCTATTTAAAAAAAAAATTCTACTTTTCCCCCAAAAACAAACTAAATTTTTTGGGGTGAAAAATATTTTTTTTTCTATTCTGATTATTTATTATTAAAATTCTATTTTTCCCCCAAAAAAAATCTACTTTTCCCCCAAAAGAAAGAAATTTTATTGGGGGGAGGGGGAATGGAATTTTTTATATTCGGATTATTTATTATTGGAATTGTATTTTTCCCAAAAAGATATTCTACTTTTCCCCCAAAACAAATAATTTTTTTGAGGGGAGGGAAACATAATTTTTTTCTATTCAGATTATTATTAATAAAATTCTATTTTTCCCCCTAAAAAATCTTTTTTTATTTTGGGAGAAAAGTAGACAATTTGTTTGGGGGGAAAATTTTCATTTTTTGAGGGAAAAATAGAATTTTTTTTTCTATTCAGATTATTTATTAATAAAAGTCTATTTTTTCAACAAAAAATTGAAATTTTTTTGTTTTGGGAGAAAAGTAGAGAATTGTTTTTGGAGGAGAAAATAGAATTTTTTTCTATTTAGATTATTTATTGTTAGAATTGTATTATTCCCAAAAAAAATTCTACATTTCCCCCAAAAACAAAGATTTTTCTTTTGATGGGAAAACAGAATTTTTTTCTATTCAGATTATTATTAATAAAATTTTATTTTTTTTCCCTAAAAAAATTTCTATATTTTGAGGGAAAAAGTAGAGAATTTTTTTTTTTTTGGGGGGGGGGGGAATGGAATTTTTTTCTATTCATATCATTAATAGTTGAATTCTATTTTTTGGGGGAAAAATAAAATTTTTTTCTGTTCAAATTATTTATTATCAGAATTCTATTTTTTCCCCTAAAAATATTTCTTTATTTTGGGGGAAAAGTAGATAATTTGGGGGGGGGGGGATATAATTTTTTTTCTATTCACATTATTAATAGAATTCTATCCCCCCCCAAAAAAAATCTTTATTTTGAGGGTGGAAAAGGTAGAATTTTTGTAGAAAAAAATTTCTATTTTTTGGTGGAAAAAATAGAGTTTAGAAAAAACAATTTCTGTTTTTTTTTTTAGGGGAAAAATAGAATTTATGAAAAGTAATTTCTATTTTTTAAGGGAAAAAAATAGAATTTATGAAAAATAATTTCTATTCTTTTTCTCCTTAAATAAAAATTCAAGCTTGCTTTAAAGATTCACTGGGTGCAAGATTCGAGTCGCCCATTTTTTTCGTCAATTCCTCCATGAAATCGCGATAAATCAACGAGTCAATATTCGATGACAAATTATAAAGTATCCACCAATCGCCTAATGCTATTTTCTTATTGATACTCTGACATGTCTCGATTGGCAATAATCTCGATGAGAGTTGAAGAATTCTTGGCCTCACTGATGGCGCGAAAATAATTGCAGCTCGATATGTTAATAGGCCAGTGAGTAGTCCGAGGAGAATTAAATACCAGAACCAAATGAAAATATATGTTTTTTCATTGACAACATTCAATGGTAGAACACAAAGTGAATCGTGCTTTTGAATTGAACCCGAGGCTCCGTATTTGTGGAAAATGCATTTTGTCACGCGCGGAAATACGTAGACCATTGGATCGACACGACTCTCCTGTGGCAAATCCGAAATGTGAAGTACTCTCAGTCCGTAGCTGAGAAATTCACCGTCAAAGAAGAGATTCATCAAGTAGAGTTGCGCCACAATGTTTATCAGGCACAAGACTTCGCAGCTGAAGTAACGATAGACGTACGAGTTGTGACACTGAAAGAACAAATCGACGAATTAGCGGGAATTGAATTCAATCAAGCTGAATTGGACACAAACCACATCCGTCCCTTTTCTTTAGGAATGGACCATTCTTTTATTTTTCTCACTTGTTGTTGTTTTTTTATTTTTATTTTTTTTACAATTCTTTTTTTTTACTTTCCTTTTTTTGTTTTTTCGTTGACTTCTTGTTTAATTGTGTGCGAAAAATTTCAATTACTTTGAAAATTAATTAACTAATACAGATTGTTAGTCACAATATCTAATATTTTTTACTAAAATTTGACTATAAATTTAAAATCACTAAAAATTAGTGAAAATTTTTACTGCTTCTAAATTTATAGTCAATTTTTACTAAAAAATATTAGGCAAGTGTCGTCACTACGAATTAATCAAATTCTCTACTAATTTTTAGTCAAATTTTACTACATCATTTAGTAGTTTCAAACGTTTTACTCAAATTATACTAAAAACTATATTAAATAATATATTTCAACATTCTAAATTTAGTAGAAATTTTTACTAATTTAAATTAATGAACAATTTTTACTACAATTCAGATTTAGAGAAAATTTATATTTTTTACTATAAATTGTAGTCAAAAAATTATTGAACTTTAATTTAAGTTTTCACTATAATTTTACTGTAATTCAGAATTAGAGAAAATATTTATTTTTCACTATAAACTTTAGTAAAAAAAAATATTCAACTACAAAATAATAAATAATAATTCAATTCAAAATTACAAATTTTCAATTTTTACTACAAACGATAGTCAACAAATTAATCAATTACTAAATAATATAGTTCAACAGTTTGAATTTAGTTAACATTTTTACTAATTTAAATTAGTGGATAATTTTCACTGTAATTCAGATTCAGAGAAAATTTATATTTTTTTTACTATAAACTGTAGTAAGAAAAATATTCAACTACTAAATAATAGTTTAAAAATGATAAATTTTCATTTTTTACTACAAACTGTATAGTCAAAAAATGATTCAACTTCTACATAATAGTTCAAAAATTATAAATTTTCTTTACTACAAACTGTAGTCAAAAAGTTACTCAACTACTAAATAATATAATTGAACACTTTAAATTTAGTAGAAATTTTTACTAATTTTAATTACTTTACAATTTTCACTATAAAATTTAGATTTAGAAAAAAAAATTTTTTTTACTATAAACTGTAATCAAAAACTTATTCAACTAATTTAAGTTTTCACTATAACTCAGATTTAGAGAAAATATTTATTTTTTACTATAAACAGTAGTCAAAAAAATATTCAACTACTAAATAATAGTTCAAAAATTATTATAAATTTTTATTTTTTACTACAAACTGTAGTCAAAAAAATTATTCAACTACTAAATAACAATTCGACACTTCAAATTTAGTAGAACTTTTTACTAATTTTAATTAGTGTACAATTTTCACTATAAAATACAATTTTAGAGAAAATTTCATTTTTTACTATAAATTTTAGTCAAAAAATTATTTAACTACTAAATAATAGTTCAAAAATTGTAGATTTTATTTTTTTACTACAATTTTTAGTCAAAAAATTATTCAACTACTAATTATAATAGTTCAAAAATTATAAATTTTCATTTTTTTACTACAAACTGTAGTCAACACTTTAAATTTAGTAGAAATTTTTACTAATTTAAATTAGTGTACAATTTTTACTATAACATTCAGTTTTAGAGAGAATTTTATTTTTTCACTATAAAATGTGGTCAAAAAATTATTCAACGAGTAAACAATTTGATTCTATTAAATTCTAATTTTATTAAAATTTTTAATTTTTAATAAAGACTGCAGAAAAAAAATTATTCAACTACTAAATAATATACTTCAACACTAAATTTAGTAGAAATTTCTTGTAGTAGAAATTCTTACTAATTTTTAGTTGAAAATTTCCACTATAATTCAGATTTTGAAAAGAAAAAATTTTTACCATAAAGTGTTAGTGAAAAAAATGATTTAACTAGTAAATAATATAATTAAATTTTTAGAAAAAATTTCTTTTTTACTAAAAACTGTAGTCAACTGCAGTCAAAAAATTATTCTAGTATTGCATAGAATAGTTTAATTGTATTGAAAATTTGTATTTTTACTAAAAGCTGTAGTAAAAAAATTATTCAACAACAAAATATTTATATTTAACTCCATTAAAAATTTCCAGTATTTACTGAAAACTGTAGTTAAAAAAATTATTTAACTACTAAATAATATGGTTCACATTCTCTCATAAATTTTTTATTTTTTTTTACTAAAAACTAAATTTTTACTCTTAACTCAATCAAATTAGAAATAAAAGTACTAAAAAGTGTAGTCAAAAAAAATTTCCAACTACTAAATAATATAGTGCAATTAGATTCAAAATTAGTGGAAATTTCTTTCAATTTTAGTCATTTTTCAGTTTTTCACCAAAATTGACAAAAGAATTTTTTAATTTATTTTTTAGTACTAAAATTAGTAAACTTACTAATTTACTTTTTATTTACTTGTAAAAATTTTTAAAAAAGAAATATAAATTTCACAGATAGAAAATCATTTAATGTCATTATTTCTCATATCAATCATTTCATTCTTTTGTCTGACTATAGACGTATTTTTTCACTTGTTATTGCCTATAATTTAATTACTTCAGTAAAAATTGCAATTCAGTTCAGTAGAAACTGTAATTTAATTTAGTAAAAATTGAAATTCATCTTAAGTGATGATTGTAAGTAATTAAAATTAATAATCATTTTTTTCTTTAATAATTATTGTCCATAAAAAAAATTTATTAATTATAAAGAAATTTCAAAGTTACAAAAACAGTAAACATTGAAATTTAGTTAAGTAAAACTTGAAATTCAGTTTGGTAAACATTGTAATTGTAAGTAATTGAAATTAGTATCCTTTTATTTACTGCTTGTAATTTACAAAAAGAAATTAATTAATTAAAAAAATTGTAAAATTTAGAGAAAAAATGGAAATTTAATTTAGTAAAAATTGAAATTCAGTTTAGTAAAATTTATAAATAATTGAAGTGAGTGAAAATTTTTTTACTATACTAATTATTATGAATAAAAAGAAATTTATTAAATAAAAAAATTATAAAGTTACAAAAAGCAGTAAAAATTGAAAAATTAAAAAAAATTGTAATTTAATTTATAGTAAAAATTGAAAATCAGGAAAATTTACTTAATACGTTTATAGTCTTAATAGACAAATGAGAATTGAAAACTTCAATTAATTGCCAAATTATAAAATACTTAATTAAATTTATTAATATAATAAATCATCATACTTTTATATGCGTCATCAAATATTGCATCAAATGCTCCTTTTTTTTCGATATAGTTTCCTCTTCCTCAAGGCCATGATTTAAACCCATCACCAACGATCGTATCAAATTTCCTTCCCATATTTTCCAAATATAGTGAGGCAGATAACACAATATTGCCTATAAATAATAAATTTTTGTTATAGATTATTTACACAGTAAACATTACCTATATAATTTTTTAACCATTAAATTTCAATCGACTTTTGAAAAATTAAAAAAAAGTCACTTAAATAATCAATCAGGATCAAATTAATAGAATTTTATGTACAGTAGTCTTAGATAAAAATTCCTAATAATCTATATCGAGATCTATATTAAAGAGTTCGAATTTTTTAAATATTAAATTAACAGTATTTGAAATATAAATTAACAAAATCGAAAAAGAAATTTCGAGTCAAAATTTACTAAAAAAAGAATTTCAATGAATTATAGTGAAGGAGTATAGAATAAAACGAAAAAAGAATTTCAATGAAAAAAGAATCAAATGACACAATAAAGGATTAATTTTAAATTAAATTCGAGGAAGAAATAAAATAATCTCTTCTCTATAAATCAAATTCAACGTAATTAATAAAATTAATTGTACTTTGAATTTTGACTGACCTTAATATATGAAGAGAAATAAATTATATTTTAAACGTACTACTATATGTATGTCATAAGAGTAATGATATAAAAGAAAGAGTCCTCACACGAGCCAGTGTAACAGATATACTTTACCATATATATATATATATATAGATATTTTTTTTATTTTATTTTAAAACACATATAATATACAATGCCGTCTTCCTGATGAGTTTGCGAAACGAGAGAGAGAAAAAAAGATGATTTACTGACAATGTGAAATAATATACATAACGCACGTGTTTATAATTGGCTATTTTTATATATAAAAAGAAGAGAGAAAAATTACCTGGAAAAATAGTGCAAAACAGACCCACTGATAGTAGGTGTAATATTTCCTTGCATTCACATTTCCAAAATCGTTGGAAACACCTGGATGTGCAACGTCCACGCCAACCTGAAAGTCATTTTTTTTTTATTAAAAAATTTTATTAAAATTATTAAAAAATATTAAAAAATATTTAAAAATATTTTTAAATATTTAAAAATATTAAAAAATATTAAAAAATATTTTTAAAAAATGAAGGCAAACGAAATTAACTTTAATAATCGTGATATTCTTTCTTTCTATCCACAATTTAATTTTTCTTTTGTGCATTCTTTTGTTTTTCGTTTTTATAGATTTTATTCTAATTATTTTTTTTTTATTTCATAATAATAAATTCAAAATTTTTATTATTAACTACTTAAAACAAATATCCATTAGTTTTAAACGATTTATTGTTTTTATTTATTAATTATTATGATTTCATTGAGAAAATAGAAATTATTTAAAATTTTTTCCCTTTTAAAATAAAATTAAAACTTGAACTTTCATTGTTTGTTCCTTTTTTTTCTTTTTTTAATGTTGCAAAAAAAGTTTCAGTATATTTTTTTTACAACATTTGCTTTAAATTATTTATTAATTTCATGTGAATTTTTCAAGAACTAAAAATTTGAAATCTGAAAAATTTTTCCATGTTAACAGTGCTGGTAAAATTTGTATTATATAAAAATTATCTTTAACGAATTCTCTCGTATGCTGGTAGCAATGCTGATAAGATTTCCTATAATAACGGAAACCATTATTTTACTATAAAAAAAATGTCTCATTAGCAAAATATTTTCGAAGAAAGAAAAATTAAAGAAAAAAAATGAAAATAAATGAGTAGTGAATTCTTTTTTATTATTAATTTAATAATAATGATAATAATGATAATAATAATAGGGTAGGGTGGGGCATTACTATTCTTTTTTGGATTTTTGAGTCTAGAAAATGTATTTAAAAAAAAATAAAAAAATGAGTAGAACCGTTTGAAAGCTTGACTTCTTAGCTACAATTTTGCCATGTATCATTTTGCTGTAACTCGATTCTATTCCGAACTACAGCGATTTTACGAAAAAAAATTTTTTTTGATGTCGAAAAAAACGAGGGGCGTAACTATTCTTGCAGCTATTAATGATATAATACTAAAAAAATATAAAAAATAATTTGTTAATTGAAGGATTTTTTCTGGTTTTTTTCTGACAATTTCTTACCATTCTAACCTAGAAACAAGGAGAATAAAAAAAAATACACTGTTTTGTAGTTTTTGCTGTCATCAGTGGAAGAATAGTTACGCCCCATCCGCTCATTTTTTGAAAAAACACTTGTAAAATTTTTGAACAATAGAATATCAAAAATCTATTATGATATTCGTGTTCAGCACTAAATTTGACTTTGGAAATATTTTCTCCGATAATTTTTTCGACCGTTTATCACTATTTACAATGGCAGACTAAATGAGTGAAAACAAGTAAGCGAGTATATCAAAATCACATTTGGGTACCTAACTCCTATGATAGATGGCGCTAGAAGCTCAAATGTGGCATACAATGTTTATTTCACATGACAAGTATACAGTGTAAAAAAAAACTTTAATCGGCTGAATAGTTTTCTCTCCAGGACAAAGAATAGTTACGCCCCGCGAATAGTAATGCCCCACTCTACCCTAATAATAATAATAATAATAATAATAATAATAATAATAATAATAATAATAATAAACAAATAATATTCATAAGTTAGTCGCTAATTCAAATTAGTAAATATTTTTAATAATTCAATATTTAAAAAAAAATTAAATTAAATTAAATTAAAAATTGAATAAATAAATAAATATTTAGGGAGTACCTATACATAAAAAATAATTAAAAATACTATTAATAACATAGAAAGATTTTTGTATTTAAATTTTTTTCTGGGATTCTAAAGAGAAAAACACGATTAAAAATTGTTCTTTATAATCTTCTCAAGCCTATGAATGAGCATTTAAAAAAATGGGCCCTTTTGAGTAGAAAAAAAAAGAAAATGAAAATAAATAAAAGGAAATAATAAACTTGATTCGTCGAAACGGTTCTTTGTTTTCAAAAAAAGGAGAGTCGCTTCCTGTTTTTTATTCCTGCTCGCATCCTTCTTTTTTTTGCTCTTAAATTCCTGTACATGAATTTCCGTTTGTATACCTGATATCAGAAAACTACAATATTGGCACAAAATTGGCTCAAACTTTAAGGCAATATTTAAAAATCGCAAATTAATCATTTTTATTTATTATTTTTTTTTGGACAAAAGAAGTGAAAAATTAATTATTTCTTCGACAAACTCTCTAAATTTGAATTAGTAATAAAGATTTCTAATTTAATTAATTCAATTCAGTTCATTTAATAAATAAATGGTATTTTTTCAAGGACCTTGAAATATAAAATATAAATAAATAAACTTGAATCAGTGAAAATGTTTACTTATTTAATTTACTTAATTTGATTTATTTAATATTTATTTAATAAATAAATAAATTTGAATTAGTATCTGACTTTTTGCTTTTCAATTAGTAAAGTTTACTATATTAAATTAGTAGAATTTACTAATTAATTTATTAATTTATTTATTAATTTATTAATTTATTAATTAATTTATTAATTTTATTTTAAGGAATAAAAGTATTATTGAATAAAAAAAAATTTAATAAAAAAAATTTATTCAATAAAAGAAAAAAAATTAAAATCATTTAGTTTCGTATGTATACAAATTTTCTAAATCAAAAATCTATTTCTTATACACAATTGTGTATCAAAAAAAAGTGTTGAGCTTCTTTTTGTTATTCATCAAAACCAGTCCGTGACTAGAGAATTTAAAACCTTTTTCAGTATGACGCAATTCTACCTGTAAAGAATAACGAACTATTTATGATCATCTGTAAAAAAAAATTTAGTGATTTTTTTCCATTAAAACGAGTGTACGAAACAAAACTTATGTCACATTAAGTGAAGGAGAAATTTTTGCATCTCTATAATTTCCATCTCTCTTTCCGTCTCCCTCTCTCTCACTCTTAGAGTCTATAAATATTTCTACAAGATTATTATAATTCTCACTTTATAAATATTTATCGAAACTTTTTCCTCCTTTAAATAAAAATTAAAAATTGGGAAAAAAAATTTATTTCTTTCTTAAATAGGCTAAAAGCCTTTCAATACAAAATGAAAAAAATTCTTTAAATCTTCTTTAAAATACCTTTTTTTATTAAACATTGTTTTTATTTAAAAATAGAGTTAAAAACTGGAGAAAAAATTATTTCTTGAACAGTCTGCTTTTAAATGCCAAAATAAAAAAAGGTCTGTAAATTTTTTTAAAATACTTTTTTTATTTTGATATTCAAAGGCTTTTAGTAGACATTTTTTTAATTAAAAATTATTATTATTTAAAAATAGAGTTCAAAGTTGGGGAAAAAATTATTTATTTCTTAAACAGGCTGCTTTTAAAATTTTAATACCAAAATAAAAAAAGTTCTTTATATATTTTGAAAGTCCTTTTTTTTATTAAAAATTATTATTTTAAAAAGATTTAAAGAACTTTTTTATTTTTGTAAGTATTTTTTTTTTTTGTATTTTAAGGCATTTAGCATGTTTAAAAAAATACATTGTAAATATTTTTTTTTAGAAAACTGTTTAAAAAAAAGTAGAAAAATATGTAAAAAAAAATTGGAAAAAAATGGAGAAAAGAATAAAAAAAGTGAGTATTAAAAAAAGTACGAAATGAGAGAAATATGAAATGAAAAATATTGAATTTAAAATTTAAAAAAAAAAAGAAAATTGTTACAAAAAGAAAAAATGAGAAAATTATTTTTAAAAAAAGAGAAAAATACTTTTAAAAAGAGAAAAATAATTGAAATAAGAAAAGATGAAATTTAAATCGATAAAGGAAAATGAAATATAAACCATGTAATTTCAAGTTCAAGAAGAAATTCTACGGTCTTTGTAATTTTTTTTCTTTTTTTTTCATTTTTTTTTCTGTTTCGAACAAAGCTTTCTTTAGAACTGTTATTTAAGTCTTAAACTCATCTTAAGTGAAATGCCTCCATTTTATCTTTCTTCGTTCTCCACGCACACGAATGTGGTGGAGAGACGGTTCGTTTCTCTGGAAATTTCGATGCCTGGGAAGCCAGTGTGCTTTGTATCTTTTATACAATTTAAAATTTGCTTTCATATTTTTAACAATTTCTCTATATAAATAGCCACTTCTTTTTCACTATTTCTCTTTCTTTGATAATTTATCTTCATCTTATAATTTCTCTTTTCTAACTGAAAATATTTATTAAAAAAAAAAAATTCTAAAAATAATTATTCTTTGTATTCTAATTACAATAATTTATTTATTGTTATAAACATTAATTAGTATTATTTTTAATTGAAAATATTCAAAAAAAAATTTCTAATAATAATTATTTTTATATTTATATTTTATATTTTTAGCAATAAATAATTATAATAATTAAAATACAATGAAATAATTATTATTATAAATTTTTTTTTAATATTTTCAATTAAAAATAATACTAATTAATGTTTATAATAATAATTAATTTTTAATTATATATTAATTTTAATTAATATTTTTATCAATATTATTATTAATAAACAATTAAATAAAAAAATAAATTATAAAAAGAAATAAATTATTATCATGGGTACTATTTTTAATGTTAAAATTAGTAAAAAAAAAATGTTGTTGACCTTTTTATTACAAAATAATATAAATTATAAACAAAATGAATTTACGTGCGCAATGAACGTTGAATATTGCAGAGACAAGCATTGGAAATGATTCGTGAAAAGAAAAATTTGTCTTAATAAATTTCTTCATTCGGTGTAACATTTCTGTTTTTGTGAACAATTTTTTATTGTAACCTGAGTGCAAAATAGTTCTGCTTCATTGATGGTTGCGTTAGGTCAGTGCACTGTGCTTATAATTAACATATGTGAAAGATAAAATTTTATTTAGGACACGATTCTATGAAGCAAAAACGAAATAGGAAAAATAAATTCTACAGTCAAATATTAGTTTCAATATATTGAGAAAAATTTATGAATTTTGATTGAAGGAATCACTAAATTTTTATGGACGAAAAAAGAGATTTCAATTCATTTAGCAGAAATAAAATTTTTATTTAAAGCAGAAAAATTTATTTGAACCAAATAAAATTTATTTGATTTAAGTAAAATTTATTTGAACCAAATAAAATTTATTTGAATCAAATACAATTTATTTAAACGGAATAAAATTTATTTATAGCAAATAAAATTTATTTAAATCAAATACAATGTATTTAAACGAAATAAAATTTATTTAAATCAAATACAATTTATTTAAACGAAATAAAATTTATTTAAAGCAAATAAAATTTGTTTGAACCAACTAAAATTTACTTGAACCAACTAAAATTTACTTGAACCAAGTAATAAATTTATTTGAACCAGAAAAATGTATTTGAACCAAGAAAAATTTATTTGAATCAAGTAAAATTTATTTAAATCAAATACAATTTATTTAAATGGAATAAAATTTATTTAAAACAAATAAAATTTATTTTGAACCAAATAAAATTACAGTAAAGAATTGACCGCAAAAAGTATTTTTAAATACTGTCAACTATTGACACTATTATCGTTATTATTATGCCGTTTCTTATGCTATTATTATTATTATTATTATTATTGTTATCTATAACAAATTTTATTATTTTATTATTTAATAAATCAATTATAATTCATTTATTATTATTTTTATTATTTAATTAATATTAAATAATAATAAAATAAATAAATATTATTATTATTTATATTTTTTAGACTTTTGTTATAATATTGTTAATATTTATTTACTATTAACATCTGTTGTTGTTGTTATTATTATTATTTGACATTTTTATTGTTATTATTGTTGTACTTATTCTTGTCATTATTGTTGTCATAATTATTGTCATTATTTTTGTCATTATTGTTGTTATTATTGTTATCATTGTTGTTATTATTATTAATTTGAATTATTATTGTTATTATTATTATTAATTTGAATTATTATTGTTATTATTGTTATTATTAGTAACAAATTTTTGGAATTGTTTGAAAAACGTTTGATCTAAATTGACTGCGATTTCAATCCACTTTTCTAATTGAAGACAATTAACATTTTTTTTTGTTGACCATCAAAAATTTCTTTCACTGTTTATTAACTGTGAGTCATCACACTACATTTGAAACTTTTCCAAAATTAAATTCACCTAAATTTTCATAAACGGAAGTTTGTAATTACATTCAATTTGAATTTAAACTTTCTAGTATTTTCTAATATTAAATATATATTTCAATTTTTTTTTATCAATAACATTGAAAAAGCAAAAATAAAAATTTTATTTGATGAATTAGATATGTACAAAATTCAAATATTGAAAGTTCTTTTGTAATATATTATATTAAAATTCAAAATGGAAACTTTCTTATAGATATTCTTTACTATTACAATAAAAATAGAAAAATAGTTTACATTAATATTTGCTTAGTTAAGAATTAATTTCCTAATACGAAATAATTTTTTATGCAGAAAATCAAATCAAAATAAGTAAAAAAAAATTGTCGTTCAATAAAACTTTAGAAACATTTTTTAAGTATATTAATTAAATAAATAGGAGGTGTAAAGAAAAATTTGTAGCTTCAGAAAATAAATTCTGTTCTAATTTTAAATAAACAAATATTATAAAAATATAATATTAATAATTTAATATTTAAATAATATTAATGATAAAAAAATAATAATAAATTAATAATAAAAAGAATATTAAATATACATTTTGATTAAATTTGCAATCCCCAGTAGTTCTCTTAAACAATCAATAATTAAATAACAATTCAAACAATTTGTTTTAAATTAATAAAATTCCCTCTAGAAAAATTCTCCAAAATTAAAAAAAAAAAAATTCCCAGTGGTTCTCATATTGACCAGAGGAGAAAAAAAATAAAAAATTTCGATTCCTTTAAATGTTTAAATTCTGTATAGTTTTGAGCGTTTTGAGTACGTATACAGATCCTAAAAGGCAAAATGTCAAGAAAACTGTCATAAAGTAAATAAAAATAAAAAAAAAATTGCCTTCAATATGAACAACATTTTGGAGAGTCAATCATTATCATCATCATCATCGTCATCATTTTCTCGAGGTCAAGACTCACCTGCCGATTAAAGGCATCCGGCATCGTGAATGTGGACATAATCCAACAGTATGTGTTGATTGGATACTTTGGTAGTCCCTCAACAATACACGAAATTGGACTCCCTACGAACTGATTAGCAGAAATAATCATCGAACACATGAAAAGTAACGCTGCCGTAAAATGATTATGGAGCCGAAACACCATCGAGTCCGTTGATATCTCATGATATTTGAAGTAGGTCCTTAAGTCTCCCAATAATTTAAACATTTTGCTTTAGTTCTCTTCTTTTTCCACAAAAAAAAAAAAAAAATATTTCCCCTAACCAAAAAAATTGGGTAAAAACAGGCTTAAAATCCAAAAAAAGGGATAAAAACCGTGTCACTTTTTTTAAATTCAAGAAGATTCGCGCTTCTTGTTTGTTTTTTTTTGGGGGGTAATTTTGCAAAAATAGTTGGTGGGGGGAGGAGGGGATCCTAGATGATTAATGGCGAATCGTTGTGGGGAGAGGATTCTCACACTCTGTTTTGGGGGAATGTAAATTAATTTTGTTGCACTTTTTTTCTTTTCCCGTGGATCAACAACAATCGGCATCGAGCGCCGCCGATCCTCCAAAACTCCCGTGCTATCTCATCTGTCACGAAAACGTAGCGACGAATGGACGGAAACAAACTTAGAACCGGCTACACAGCTGTCCACGCGGCGTCTTCTCTCTCGCTCACTCTCTCTCTCTCCCTCTCCCTTCGATCCCCCTTTTTTTATCCTCTTCTTTCTCTCTCTATTCTTTTGCACGTACCCCTTTTTCCTTCCTCCTCTGTCTCTTTTTCTATTTCTCCTTTTCTCTCTCTCTTTCTATTTTTCTATCTCTTCTCTTTTTCTATTTTTCCTCCTTTCTGTATTTTTGCTCCTCTTTCTATTTTTCCTCCTTTCTGTATTTTTGCTCTCCTTTCTCTATTTTTCCTCCTTTCTGTATTTTCTCTCCTTTTCTATTTTTTCCTCCTTTCTGTATTTTTCCTCCTTTTTGTATTTTTTCTCTCCTTTCTCTATTTTTCCTCCTTTCTGTATTTTTCTCTTCTTTTCTATTTTTCCTCCTTTTTATATTTTTCTCCTTTCTGTATTTTTCTCTCCTTTTCTATTTTTCCTCCTTTTTGTATTTTTTCTCCTTTCTGTATTTTTTCTCTCCTTCGTTTTTTCTACCTCTTCCTCTTCTTTATTTCTCCCCCTTCTCTTTTTTCACCTCTCTTTTTCTTTCTTCTTTCCTTCAAACTTCTCTATTCCACATTTGGGAAATTCCCTTTGAAGAGAGAAAGAGAGGGAAGTGTCGTTACCTTTTCTCCCCTCAGGGATTTTTTTTGGGAGAGTTATAGTAATGGTGGTGGGGGGAGGGAGGGATCGAATCCAAGAAGAAAGCGCGCGAAACGAGGGACGATTTTTAAACAAAAAAAAAAGGGACGAAGTAATTTTTTCCTTTCTCTGTGTCAAAAAAAAAAAAAACTCTCCTCTCTTGTTTTTTCCGGGTGAAATTTGAAAATGTAATTTTTCCCTCGTTTTTCTGCCACCGAAACGTGTATACGTACTTACGTACGAGTCTCTTGGACGGTAACTGACGAGAAGTGGCAGTGGGTTTGTTATGGGGGGCAGGAATGGAGGGGGAGAAGGGGGATACCCCCCACTATGCGCTACAATCTACGGCCACGATTCCTGCCCTCTCTCTCTCTTCTCTTTTCTCCCTCTCTCTCTGTCTTCTGTCCCACTCTTACTCTCTGTCTTCTGTCCCTCTCTTACTCTCTCTGTCTTCTCTCCCTCTCTTTCTCGCTCTCGTTCAAAAAAGAGAGAAACCCTCTCTCTCTTTCTCTTCTCTCTCTCTTTCTCTCTCTTTCTCTCTCTCTCTTTCTCTTCTCTCTCTCTTTCTCTCTTGTTCGAAAGAAAGAGAAACGCCCCACTCTCTCTCTCTCGCTCTCATTTAGAAAAGAAAGAGAAACCCTCGTGTCTCTCTCTCTTTCTCTCTCTCCTTTGTGGCACGCTACAGTGTCTGTTCCTCGATGGTCTATCCACCGTTAATTCTCGTCCTGCTTGCAGCTCACTTTACTTTGTACTTCACGTAGAAAAAAAAAATACACTAAATTCCACTGTTTTTGTATCGTTTTTCTTTTCGAAATTTTTTTTTTTTTTTCTTTGAGAGAAAAGGAGAGAAGGCAAAAATAATGAATCTAAATGAATTTAAGAAAAGAATTTATAATATTGTAAAGGGAGAAAAATAGGGGAAGAGAGAGAGAAAGAGAGAGAGGGTGTGTGGATGAGGGTGAAAAATGATGCAAGGGTTAGGAAATTATACATTGTGCAATATTACGCAATTTTCTCGCATTGACTGCTGAAATATGGTTGAATATTGCATTTCGTAAAATATCGTTTCACAACCGTCCCTGTTTGGATTGCACAAATTTAATTTTGGGAGAAAAGAATATTAGGGGTTTGTATTTTAGGCAATCAAAGGGAGAATATTCGGTTAAAGTTGGAGGAAAAGTATTTTCTAGATATTTATTTGTCAAATATTCACTGATATAGGGAATATTTGGCTGGGACAACCATAAATTTTTGTAATTTTTACTTTGAAAACCAAGTAATTAGCCGTAACAATTTTTTGGGACAACGAGAAATTTTTATTTTTGTTGAAAAAGCAAGTAATTATCCCTAAAAATTTGTTTGGACAACAAAAAATTTTAATTTTTGTTGAATAAAGCAGTAAATTTGATTTTGGAAAATGGGACAACAGAGAAGATTTGTCACGTTTTTCGTTACGAAAGGGACAGTATTTTGTTTGCGATAACAATTTGTTAGGACAAGTGGAAATTTGAATTTTAGTTTAATTTTGGTTGAAAAAGCAGGAAATTTGATTGGGACAGCTGAAAATTTTGGTCAGTTTTTCGTTACGTAAGGGACAGTAGTTTGTTTGGGATAACAATTTGTTAGGACAAGTGGAAATTTGAATTTTAGTTTAATTTCTGTTGAAAAAGCAGGGAATTTTACTTAATTTTACTTGAGGGACAATATATGTGTTTGGGACAACCGTAAATTATTGTATTTTTTCTTCAAAAACCAAATAATTGTCCAAAACAAATTGTCAGGACAACTTGAAACTTTAATTTTTGTTCAAAAAGCAGGGAATTTGATTGGGACAGCCGAAAACTTTTGATAGTTTTTCCTTACTTAAGGGACAATGTATTTGTTTGGGACAACCATTAAAATTGTTATAGTTTTTCTTTGAAAACCAAATAACTGTCCGAAACAATTTATTATGACAAATAGAAATTTTAATTTTTGTTGAAAAAACAGGGAATTTGCTTGGGACAGCCGAAAATTTTTGTTAGTTTTTCCTTACTTAAGGAACAATATATTTGTTTGGGACAAACGTAAATTATTGTAGTTTTTCTTCGAAAACCAAATAATTGTCCAAAACAAATTGTCAGGACAACTTGCAACTTAAATTTTTTTTCAAAAAGCAGGGAATTCGATTGGGACAGCCGAAGATTTTTTTCAGTTTTTCATTACATAAGGGACAGTATGTTTATTTTGGCATAAAAATAAGTTATAGGACAACTGGAAATTTTAATGAGTGTTTGGTTAATGAAAAGTGAAGTTTCTAGGGACAATTTGTAAAATATTTTTTTGAAGAGAGAAAATTATTGACATGAGTCAATTTCGCACTTTCTCTGCAAGATGAATTTTTTTCCGTTTAACGATCATAAGTCAATGAGTTATTATCAGTTCGCGTGAAATGTCAAAACTTTCAGAAGTCAAACCAATCTTTTTTTCTTCTCTCAATATTAGCTTCTATTTTTAGAACAGAAATAATTAAAAATTTTATCAAGACACTTTCTTTTAATGAATCGATAATAAGTGATTTAATTAACCGTTCTACTTTCAATGAAGTAAGACCAAAAAATTTTGCTGATTATAAATATTTTTTTGCAAATTGACAATCGACAATACATATTTGCAAATATTTCTTTCTGACAAAGGGATTTTTTAAAACTTTATTTCTTATTTACTAAACTGGCAGTTCTTTTTTTAAAAAAATTCTTTTTTAAAAATAATTTTTTTTTTAATTCTTATAAAAAAAAATTTAAAAAAAAAATTTTTTTTTTAATTTTTTTTAAAATGCTTCCTTAAAAAAATTTATAATATTTTAATTTACATTTATAATTTATACCTAATATTTACGTATTATACACTTAGAAAAAAATATATATTTGACTCAGAGCCCAACTAGACTTTTTATTTGTTTCAAATAAATTTTATTTTGGTTTAAATAAAATTTCTCTCTGGGTGAATATTTATTAGCAAAATAAAAATTGGTTTTTAAAAATTTAATTGTAATGAAACAAGAAGGGGGCAATTTTGAAAATATTCTTTTACTGTTAACTTTTTAAATCATCTGCTTTTATTCTTTTCTATTTTTCGACTCTATTGATCTATATTATAGAGTAAATTCAATTTTTATTTGAATGATAATTACTTTTAAATTTACTTTCTTGACAGCTGAAATGACAAATATAAAAATTGACATTTATATGGAAACTGATAACGCTCTGATCTGTAAAATAATTTGTCTTCTTTAAAATTAGAAATTTTAAATTAAAAAATTAAATCGAAAAATAAAAAATAAAAATTTTCTAGAAGAGAAAGTAAAAAAGTTCATTAATTATTTCTTCATTCAGTATTTATTTATAAATAATTTTTAGTTGTTATAATAAATATAATATAATATACAGCAATACAATATAGAAATAAATAAATAAATAATAAATAATCTAATTTTACTTTTTTATTAATGGGACAAGCGCCATGTCCCATTTAAACAATATAATGTATAATAATTTATTTATTTATTTATAATAATAAATAAATAAATATATAAATAACTTTACAAGCTTTTGCATATTTTTATGTCGAAATTTTATAACCGAACACTGACACTTTTATTGAAACACGGGTATTAACGTTTTTTTTCCTAACATGTGTTTTCCAGACCCAAATGCTACCATAAGAACGGAAGTTGGAGTGCAGACACAAGAAACAAAAAATTCTCTATTGCAGTAAAAATGTAAGTTTTTTTTCCTTCAAACTTTTCTTTTTACTTTACACAAAAAATTTTCCATTTTATGCTATTTTTGGTATTTTTATACACCAAATAAAAAGTTTTTTAGTTCAGAAAAATTTCACCATCCCGAAGGAAAGATCAAGTATCAAACAAATTCGTAAATGTAAATGTGGTTTCAATTTTCACACGAGACTCAACCGTTCGTGACTTGAAATACTCAAAAAAAAAACAATTACAAATTAAAATTAAAAAATATTGAACAAAAAAAAAGAAAATATATTTTTATTTTAGAAAATGTTTTTATTTAAAAACTATATTTTTATTTTAAAAAAATATATTTTTACTTAAAAATTTCTTTGAACGAAATAAAATTTCTCTGAACCAAGTACAATATTTATCTGAACCAAATAAAATTTATTTTAACCAAATATAATATTTACTTGAACCAAATAAAAATTTATACTTGAACCAAATAAAAATTTACCTGAACCAAATTAAAATTTACCTGAACCAAATAAAATTTATTTGCAGCAAATAAAATTTATTTGAACCAAGTAAACTTTATTTGAACCAAATAAAATTTATCTGAAACAAATAATTTCGGTAGCTATGAATTAAATTTTTTTCCACAACTTTAAATTTCTATTTTAGTATAGAAAAAAAATTTCCTTTGATAAAATAATTTAAAACAGTTAAATTACAAATTTTCATTCTTCAAAGAATTCGTAGTAAATT